CCTCTTTCCCTTTGTGTTCGTCATGTTGGCGGGTCACTGCAAGATGGCGGTTCCAGACGAAAAGCCTTTTTGTGGTTTTGATTTGCATCTTTCTTATTTCCAGTGATCTGTAGCATTTCTTCATGTGTTGGCCATCTGAGTATCTTCCTCTGTGAAAATTCTTTCCATGTCTTTTGCCCATTTTGTAACTGTGTTATCAGTCTTTTTATTGAGGCGGCCCTGTAGGACTCTGTAGACTTTTGATATGAGATCTTTGTTTGAGCTGGTATGTCCAAATGGTTTTTCCCTATCAGTAGGTTTCTTTTCACTCTGTTGGAAAAAGGGGGGTTTTTTTGGAAAAAGTTTTTGATGCACACAGGGATTTAATCTTTACACTTGATCTTAGCCAAAAGGCCGAGAAGCAATAGGGATTTAATCTTTAGAAGGTCCCATTCATCAATTTTATTAGGCATTCTCTTTATATCATAGACTAGGCCGTCTAAGCTTGATCCCAGTTTGTCTCTGATGAACTTTATGGTTTTGGGCTTTATTCCCAGGTCTCTGATCCACCTTGAGTTGATTTTTGTGTATGGTGTGAGCTGTGGATCCTGTTTCAGCTTTCTGCAGGTAGCAGTCCAGCAAAACTGTAAATCTTAACAGAAGACATCTTTCTCCTGTGAAGCACCTGGTGGGTTTGGACTGCCAATAGCCACTTAGCCATCAAGCACTTAAACTACTACGCCATGGCTCCTTTCTCAATAATTACAACTTTTAGTTACTAAATGGTAATTTCACACAAGACTTTCAGAAGACCTAGGGATACTAGTAATTATTTTTTAATTCCAGAATATGCCCCAAGGTCAACTGACAGACTGATATCCAATTTTTATTTTAATTTAGTTCTTTTATTTCCCTTAAGATTATTTTAAGCAAATAGCTTAGCTTCCTTTCACAAGTGAGGCTCTATGAGAGAATTAAGCCCTACAGAAATGATCTGACTCTTTTCAATTCTTATAAAGATGGCTTCTCTTTATTGTCAATCACCAGGTTAGGCAAGATCTTTCCTGCACTGTCTAAATCACTTCTTACTATATGTAGCTTTTTTTTTGTCAGTTCTGGTCAATATAAAAAAGGTACACAATACATAATGTCCCCACGTGGGAAAAGAATAAATGAAACATATTTAGAGGACAACTTTGAAATAGCAAAGTTCACTAAATTCATGTGGTTTTTGACTCAGCAATTTAATCTGCAAGAATTTATCATATACATATACATAAACATTCAAAGTTACAGATAAAGAAAGCATTATATGCTAATAGCAAAAGATATCCTTCATGAGGTAGTTAGTAATAGAAAGCATGATATTTCTCTGCAAGGCCAAAATAGTCTGAAGGTGAACAATCCTGCCTAATTTGTGAAGCTAAATTAAGCAAAGTCTGTTTTAATTAACATGTTGCCGCAAATGACGGCTATAATAAGCACATTCGTCAATTTAAAAATGTGCAGCAACGTGTTAATAAATACTAGAATGAAAGACCACATGGATTACAGATCAAGTACATTGGTCTCTTATTTTTAGTGTCATAATAAAACTTAATTGTATCAGCTGTAGAGAACCAACTAATAAATATTTGGAAATTTTTAGAGCTAAATTTGTTCACAGTGAGAAACTGGCCATGATGGAATATATAGACACGAAAGTAGAACCTTAGGACTTCTCTTTATTAAAGAACTGGTTTACCAGTACACCATCATTTTTTATTATACATTGATGTATTTAGGAAAATGAAGAGATTTCTGGAGCTCCACATCCATTTAATAACGAATTATTCTAGGGGAGCTCTGGTGGCCTAGTGGCAAGGAGCTGCAACTACAATCCCAGAGGCGAATGGTTCGAATCCACCAGATGCTCTGCTGGGTAAGG